CAATGTAAATCCAAATTGGTGAAATATTAAAAGAATAGATATAATTTTTATTGTAACATTATTTGACACATACTCAGGTAATTCTGGTATTTTGCTCAATTATTATATCTTAATATTCTTTTCAGCTGATTTCTTCAGACTCATCACGTTGGAGAAAAGAAAGAAAGCTGTAATAACGGTTATTATGTAAATTATATTATGTATCATCTATGTAGACAATCTTTGGATTATCAAAGTCTGTATATTCTTTATCGTCGCACGAGACTATATTAATCCTCCTGTGTTTTAATATTTTTATTTATCAATATTAAAATCAGCTATACAACAATCATAGAACTTAATATTAATACTTCTTTTTGTATCGTTTATTAAATTTATAACTTTCCACACATGAGATATATGTATATTTACACGAATCATTTTTTAAAATATTTTAATAAAATATATTTCAGGAATATTATTAAATAAATATATATATTATTATAAGAAAAAGAATATTTTCAAAAATTAATTTTCCGAACATAGGTATTTATATTTTAAAAAGATTTTCATGAAAACTTCTGAAATATTTCAAATTTTGAAAAATAATTTTACAAAATATTTCTAAAATATATGCCGCGTGAAAATATTTCACATTACTTATACATAATGCAAACGTAAACAATACGTAAAATTTCTGTGTAAACATATAAATTTTGCAATATGATACAACCCTGATCCCGTTCTTCGAGTTCTCGCGAGAAGAACCTGATCTTTCTGTCGGTGAACGGTGGACCGGGCGATTTAGGACCTAGTGGGGATTATGATATGCGGGTGAACCTCGTAACCGGTGAACGCCTGGCTATCGCGTAGAATGTGGATATAATAATAAAACGACGAGGGACGCGCGTAGAAACCGCGCGTTCTCGTTCTCTGCGCATGTGCCGTTAGACCGAAGAGTGGGAGGATCGAAGGGATATCTCGGAATAGAGGAAGTGCTCTCGTGGTCCCGACGTGACTGGACGTGACCCCGAAGGAAAGATCGGTGGAAGCGGTGTGTAGTGCGCGCGAGTCACGTCTCCAGTTTTCGTTTTCGAGGGACGTGCAGGATTCACTCGTGCGAGGGCTCGTCACCGCGACGGAGTGATGCGCGGTGCGAGGAACGCGAGGGGACGGTCTCTGACGATCGGCGAGATTGTTGTTTACATTCCCCTTCAAGCGCATTCTCGCGGGACCGCCATATAGGGAAACCACCTTGCTCCTTCCGCGTACACGTCGCGTGCCTTTCTCGAAGGGCTCCTGAAATCGCACAAGTGGCATAACACTCTGACGTATCGACGAAGGAGGTATTATGGACCGTCTGGAAAGGTATCGATAAAATCGAAGTGCTTCCTTTAGCTCCGAGAAGGCGAACTACTGCTTGCTGGACCGTTGATTCACGTTGATCCGGGTTTAAGCTGCGCTACTGTAAGAAATATGTACATTAAACACAGCAGCGAGTATCGCCCTCGTTATGTGGCTTAGTGAGAAAGCAGCTGTCTATAATAGAAGGAATTCTCGTAGGTATAGGAGATTAGAAAAAGGTAAAGAAAGATAACGAAGAGGGTACTGGCCGTAAACACATCACTCGAACGTATCTTCTGAGATTCTTCAAATTTCTCGGGGATGAGTGACAGCTGCGTTTTCTTCCGACAGAAATGATTTACAAACAACTGAGGGATTGAAGATTTCAAGACGGGGGAATTTTTCTTCTCGAGGAGGCTAAACACTGAACCATCTGATTCACCTTTGATCCACCACTCATGATACTGCGATCCTTCTAGGTGGTTCAGAAGTCTATCCGGGAGAATAAAAAGAAGACTTGGCGAGGTCTGGTTCTAAGAGTACTTAATTCGAATGTGGGTGGAAAGAGGTGATCTATTACGATCTGATTTCCGCGGAAGCTACCGCGAAGCGACGAAGATGTGACATATCATCCTGGATGACGAACGTTGTAACGTTGTGAGAGAGAAAATAAAAAAGAAAAATGATACACGCAGTAGTAGTCGTGGTTCTCGCTCTGATCTCCGTCAGTGTATCCGCCTACGAGCATACCGCCGCGGATCAGTGCGACTGGTCCGGAAGGTTTGTATTTTTCACTGTAACACACAGTCTCTCTCTCTCTCTCTCTCTCTCTCTCCCTCTCTCCCTCCCCTCCCTCCCTCTCTCTGCGTTTCACAAACTTTCACGTCAGTGCCGTAACAAGCGCGCGGCCGATGTGACTTCACAAGTCGCCGGCTGTGTAGTCGGACATAAATCGCTTCACTTCAATTTCTTAACACCAATCATTTGCTCCGATGTTTGCTCTGAAATTTCCTAAATTGATAATTGCAGATCCAGTGTATTTTAAATAAATGTATCGTTGTTTGAACTTAACGTGATTGAACATGGATTTTTTTTATTTTGTAGGTCAAAATTCGAGGAATAATATTATGTAACTGAAATTGTATAAAGTTCTGAAAAACAATTGTTATAATAGTATTGAAGAAAGCCATGGTCTCCTGAATTTGTAGATACGGATAGGAATACTTTTTATTAATAATATAAAATAATATGAGAGAGAGAGAGATTTATGTATTTAATATAATTTCAACATTTTCAATTAAACATATGGCAGAGCATTATAATATGAGTCATTCTTTCCTTTCTCTAAAATTTCAAATGAATAACATTATTTTTCTTTATTTCTCATTGTAATACATTTATAAAATGTTATTAATTGAAATGTAAATACTTTGCACAGCGGAGGAGAAAGCGGTGGTGTCCGGCCGGTGTACCTGCGCTGTGCTCGAGGAACGGTATTATGGCGTTATCCTCATGACGCTTTGAGAGTAGTCCTTTCCTTCCCGGTCTCATTCTTGGAGAACAATTCTCTCAGCTATCTGGGTTTCCGTGCCTGCATCAAGATCTCTGGGCCTGTGCGGGTCTTTCTGGAAGCTGGCGGCAAGTTGAGACAACTCTATTCTCCGTCCGATGGCAAGCATGAACTTACACACCGGTGCTTCCGCTCGCGAAAACATATAGCCGCACTTTACATGGAAGCTGAGGATGATTATTCCTTCAAAAACACGAAGGTTAAGCTGCAATACGATCTAGAGCCGAATTCTGTAAAGGGGGGAACACTTCGTGTGCCGGACGAAGAGGAGGACTGCAGACCTTGCTCCATGGATGAACTCGCCAAGGCTTACTGTCAAAGCGACTTGGTTGCTAAAGGCACTGTCACTGACGTCGAGCAGAATCCTAAGATGGATACGGCTGAACTGATACTTAGGGTCACCAAGATTCTGCGCTACGTAGCCCAGGAAGCTGAGGTAAAAACTTTATAAGACAATATATACTTTGACTTTTCTGTCATACTTGTGTAGTCCATTACAAAATATTTAAAAATACAACAAATTATTACAGGGCAATGAAATTGACGCGTCTTTTAAGAAGAGCGTGCGTGTGCGAATACCAATGGTATGTGATGCGCGGCACGGCCTCGGTGAATTTGTGATAATGGCCAAACGACGTCTCGGAGATCTCACCTTGGTATGTGCGCCTCGACTGGAGGCGTGGATGCAAATTGTACATGAAATGGACAATGCGCCCTGCGTCCTTCATAGTTAGCTAATGAGATTTAAGGTGATTTTCTTTGGAAAGTCGTAAAGAAATGTACACGATATACAATAGATAAGACAGTATCGTGCTGCAATATCGTGTTGCAAAATTGGAAATTAACGCAATCATTAAAAAAGTAATATCATATAAAAAACTGTCCGTCGAGCCATTTGTACAAGGATATCGTGTATATAGGGAATATCATTCTTTGTGTACATACTGCATACTGTCAGATTGTCGATCTCCAAACTGTGATATTATTTGTTGCATTAAGAACACGGAAGAACGTGCGAACGAAGAAACGGAAAGCACATTTGCCTTATACTTGTTCTAGAGATTAGAAAAATCATTATGTATAGAATATCCCAGACATCGCTCACTCTTTCTCTTGAAAATTTTCTTTTCGTAATTCTTATTTTCTCTCTTTTTTTCTTATCCTATTTCACATCATTTTCATTCGTTTTACATTTTATAACGTAATTTTAAAATTTCGTTGAAATCAAATATACTTGAGATTATACAAAGAAAGGTTTTGTTATGTGTTCCTCTTGAAGTTTGAATATTTCCCATTCTTCTGTAATTTTATTACGAATTTCTCAGTCTTTAAAATTGATGTAGGAGTAACATTCTGTTAGAATCTATTGCCAAGAGAAAGTGTGCAGTGATAAAAAATACTAGGTATATTGCAATTTTATTGGGCGAGTACATGGACTCGCTGCAGAGTTGAGCATATTTTGTTTATATTCATACAATATTATATAACAATTTTGTATAGATTTACTAAAAGTATTTTATATAAATTCCAACCGGAATAGCTGTTCTTATCAAAATACTATATATGTGCGACAATAATAAAGAAGATATTTGGAAAAAATTATGCATTTCTGTCCATATTCTATACCTCTAATTTAGAAAATGTGTGCATAATAAAAACATTTGTCTATAACACTTGTCTATCGATTGATAGATGAAGAGAGTCATATAATTTATAATATTTATACAACAATTGAACGTTCATATATTTACACGATAGTCTCAAAATATACCGATATTCTTAGTTTATCTAGGAAAGAATTTCTAAAAGAGAAAGAGAGAAAGAGGGAAACAGTTGGTAATGTACAATAATTTATTTCTGCAAAAACTGTTTTAATATACCTCTGTGATTTAATTCTGGAACCATGCGAGATCGATTACGGTACGAGGTTTCAAACATAACATCGTTTGAAAAACTTTCACAAAATATATTTGCTTTATTGCAATTAGTTTTATATTTAAACGTATGAGAATTGGCCTTTTTGATATAATTTGTCATATATTTTGATATAAAAAGATTTCCATGTATTTAAAAATATCAGTGGTATTCTACCGTAACGAAATCACATAGTGGCTACAGAATTTAATCTATATATAATCTCCCTGAGACACGCAAATACACAAACGCGCACGTATATATTTGTATAGTATCAAACAAAATAACACAGCTCACAGGTCAAGCTGGCTAGTAGATACAAACTGTACTCGATTATATATTAATGAACATTTTGCTTTCTCTTTGCTAGTGTCGATGAACGAATAAAATAATTCACTCAGCCGATCAATCAGAGACAGAGGAGAATAAATCTTTCTGCTACATTCGTTGAAAAGCCATTGACTATAAGTTTCTTTATTCGCAACGGACTACGGAGAAATGAAGTTTATATATTTATCTGTAAACTGAGCGCACAATTAATATTTTAGACTGTATGTAGTTTTTAAAATCTGTGCGATCATCATTCTACTATTATTGATAAAGGTAATTGATATATCATATCATAATTTCTTTTCTTATTTCATTTTGCCAATTGCAACATCATTTAGTTTACAAATGTAACTATTAAATGATAATAAATCTAATTACTATGACACAAAAATCGTCTCACGTTTTTTAACTTGTTTCACATACATATATATTTTTTTTTTGATAATTTTGCCCTAATTTTATTTGCTCAAATTCACTGATTATTTAATTTTACTGTAACTTAATTATTTCATAATTTTGTTATTAATATTAATATTAATTTAACAAAATATTTCGCATCAGCTGCCTATTAAATGACTAATTCAACGATCACATTGACGCGTATCCTTCTTTCCTCTTTTTGGCGCAGCATCAATTTCACTCGATTTAAAAATGTTTACAACTATATATATAAACAACAAAATAAACAGTGAGGTTTACACTTCATATTAATTACTTTTCTCCCTGTACACCTCTTTCGCTCATTAGATTTTTTTTTACATATTCTAATAAAAATAATGCTCACTCGTACTATAAACTTCGTCTTTCTTGCCTTTCTTTTCTTTGAATTTTATAAATGTAAAATAATAAATGTAAGAATGTATAAGAATATATCACAATAATTCCTCCCACTTTCTTTTAGATGCTAAATATGGCTAATAAATGGTTTTTGCGAATAACATAATGATAATAATATTTTTAAAGATCATGTAAAAACAGTTTAAACTACATTGTTGTCTAGAAGTCTCTTCGTTTTTTTTTTCGCAGGTTTCTATCTAATTTAGATAAATCACTATACTGAAGAAAAATATATCATTTTTCGATTAACATGCGAGTAAACGCTTTCACAAAATATACAAAAAAAAAAAAAAAACGAAAACATATAAAAATTGTAAAAGGAGATTATTTTTTGGCCGGCGCAAGATTCGTTTACGTTGTGGTAAAGGGATAATTTGGGCAGAGTGGCAGGACTAGATCGTCCATATTTGGTAGAACGACTAGTTTCTCGAATTCCCTGAGCAGCTTATTCTCAATCCATTTACTCACATATACAATGTTGACAGTCCTTTCTCCGAGAGTTGGTTGCACAGTGAGAGCGATCTTCGGCACTGATTTGAAACCGTACCAGAGCCGATCAGAGGGCGGCGGAGGGATATTTAATAAGAGACAACCCTCGATGCCGGATACGCTAACCATAAAACGGATCTCCGTGTTGGAAACACCCTCCATTGCCCTCCGTACGTATGATAACTCTGTAGCCTGTGATAGAAAAGTTGTTTAATTTAGTGAGCGCTTATAACTTGTTTTCGCAATTATTATATTAATGATAACAGATCAATAGATTATCTCAACATAATTAAGTGTTACTTACATGTCGGAAATATTTGTTGGCTGTCAGTTTGTCAACCATACTAAGAAACTTCTTACCAGAAGACTGCACTGGTCTATAATATGAGAAGATCTATGAATTAATCTACAACTTCATCGTAATACTTTTATATTTTTTTTAATTTGTAAGAGATGAACAAATTTATATTTTGGAGGACATATGTTATTTCATTTGTATACGTTTTTAATATAAAAAAGATTTATAAGATATATTAAATATAAATAGCATCTAAAGAGACAAAAGGTAAGATTGATACGATGAATTGGAACCATGATTTAAATTAGGAAATCACTTACGTGGTCTCTTTAGATGCGACGCTCGACGCGATGTTTCCTATATCTTCATCTTCAGTGGATGTCTCTGGACTATCTTCTACATCGCTATCAAATATTGGTGATCTAGTAGGAATAGACTTCTCATCAACAATATCACTGGGAACGCTACTTGCACGTGTTAGCTTCATTAGATTCAACTTTGTCTCTACGGTCATCGTTACGCTGCCTTTATAAGTAATATTTAAATCAAACCAGAGTCCGCGCTCGTCAAGTGCGGGTTTAGAGACTTTATGAATCATCGGAGCGTCATGTCCGATTACTACTTCTGTCACAAGGAGACTCTCCATAAAGTATGGAAGTTTTATGTTAGAGAGTTTACGTTGTATTCTATCTTGAATAAGATTGATTGCTTCTGGACAACTATGCATATCGAACAATATCCGTCCCAAAAGACAATTTACCCAAAGGACGTCGCTCTCCCTTGGAGAATCCTCAGGATCCACCTGAAAAATAATCGCTTGATTAAAATTATAAGAATTCTAAAATTAACTTAATCATCACATTGCTTACATTCAGGTACTTGCTCATATAGGTACTGTAAGTGACTTCAGGAGACGCCTCTACTGACTTTGTTTCTGCTACATCCAATTGTGCAGAAATTGTATTCGCGCAGGAATCATTTATGGAACAAATTGAATGTCGTTTTTTCGAAAGAGACGCCGCCGATATCAATCTACGAAACCTGAAAAATCCTTTATTAAGATATGCTAATAAAGCAAAGCTTTAAATTATACTTTGATAATTAGAAAGTTTAATTAGAATCTTTATTATATTTAAATTGATTTGAGAGAGGCATTTCAGCAGAGATGTTACCAGTCTTCCTTCTCTCGATCGGCGCGTGCAAACATATAAAGTTTGCACTTGGTAATCTCTTCGTTGTCACGGCAATCCTCGTAAATACTCCTGAGAGATTTGGATTGTGAAAAATCATCATCATCTTCATCATCATCGATCTTAAACTCATCTTCCTCATTATCCTTAAAATATTCCAATCTGGAATCTTCATCCTCACTTTTTGTTTCTTCACCAAAGATACTTTCATCCATTTCCTGATTGACTCCATCTACTTGGATAATTTTCTTTTCATCCTCGAGAGTTTCCTTTCCGAGGTCCGTCCAGTCATTCAGACTTGTGCTATCTATTAGTGCTCCTTGGTCCATCGTAATACAAATAGGATATTTCTTGCTCCATCTCCTGTACAACATATTTTTATTTTATTTGTGTATACTATAAAAATATGAAATAATTATGCATGATGTGATCATACCTTCTCCGAGTGAGTCCTTCTGGTAGCAACTCTATTTTTGCACCATTAAGATTGTACTCGCGTTTTCTGGTAAATTTATATTTTCGTTTTTGCTCATCCCATACTGCTCTCTTTGGTACTTTCATTCTAGTCTCCATAACACGCAGTACTCCACCTTCTAGACTGAAGAAAACTGACTTTGTACGTGCTACATGATAATTGTGAGGATCATATGTATATGGTAACTCGTTTAACCATCCTTCATATCTTTCTTGGACTGCATGTTCCTCTGCTGCCGGTATTTCTAGTACTGGAACTATTACATGTGCAGGTTTCTTATCTAATGGCGTCTGTAAAATTTCTTTGATCCTCTGCATCAGCTTATACATCACTATTGTGATGAAGACTCCTATAAAAAAGCCAACCAAATGGGCAGGCAATGGAATGAGATAGCAGAAAGCAAGCACAAGAATCAGCAGTGTAGCTAACTGTTTTGTCAACTGTTGAAAGATATAATCTTTTATATGGGAGAGGAACGTACTAAATTTCACTTCTTTCGTTTGTACGTATCCATCTGACTGATTAAAAAAATTACGACGACATGTGGCATCATTTTTCTTATCCTCGGTACGAAAATCATCTTGTGATTCAAAAGGAAGTGGCTCGGGAACAAGATCAGAGAACTCAGCAGCTTCCACGCCACTTTCCACACTGTCGTCTTGAGAGTTTTCTTTTCTTGTTTTCAAGCCAGTTTTAACCTGTGAGAAGCCTACAAATCTTGAGGTATTACCCTTATTACGAGCAAGTTCCTTTTCTTGCTTATCGTTGATGTTCTCATCAGTCGGCGTGATATCTCCCAGAGTCTCCTCGGAGTCGCTGACACTGGAATTATCTTTATTACGTTTCCTCTTCTTCCTATCGCTCTTTATCTCAGAGATCTTCTCTTCAAAAGTTTTCGTGATCTTTCCTTTAATGTCGAACAGTACTTTCCATGGATCTGAAGGTGGAGAAGTACCCTCAAACGCGTTATCTTCAATGGAATGTCTCTCTGCGTCATTTTCCAATCCTTGATCATTCACGCTGCTCTTGGAGGGGCTCGATGGTATCCTCTTGTCGGACTCCGGCGTAAGACGCTTTTCGTCATCAGAGGAGCTCGGGTAGAGCTCTTCCAATTCATCGTCATTTGCTCGATAGTGGATTACTGGCACTGATGTGGTGATCGGTTTGCCTGTAGTAGAAAAAAATACGAAAGTTAGTCGAACACATTAAGCAAAGATTATGCTTTCCATTTGATGACGTAAGTTGACACAAGTCAACACAAGTGTCATTCTATCTTTGTCACTCTCTGAATGTCAAGAAGGATAGAACGACGCTTGTGTCAACTTGTGTCATCAAATGAAAAGCATCCATAGATTACTCCATGAGTTTTTCACACTTGTATATTTTATACACTTGTATGTTTTATTACAGTTACACATTATCAAGAAGTATAAATATCAAGAACATATGAACTTTTTCAATCTTTTCCTACCTTTTATCATTCCCAGGGTGATCTTCCCTGGACTGTATTTGCTACCCATCGTTACTCGCCTCGAGCAACAGTGACCGTCGTATCAGGAGTTTATCGATATTAACATTGGTGCTCCGATCTAGAGAGATAACAGAATCTTGATCGTTTCACAAAACGATCGTCCAAAGCAGCGGTGTCATGCTAAACGATTAAGTTTGAGTCACGATGTATCCGAGCACTGTTGTTCTTATAACAATTAATAATAATAACAATAATTAACGCGTCGACACTTGACACATCTGACATCTTCCAAGGACTCGGCACGCTCGCGCGCTTCGCACTGAAGCTTCGAAACCAATACGCAACGGCCAACTACGAGTCTGTTCTGTACTATACAAAAAGTTCAGTACATCAGTACAGTCACCGACGAGATACTATTAAAGACCGACATCCTTATGGGAGTTCGCGTCCTCGTGAATATTGAAGTAATTAAGAGTTAAAAACTAATAATATTGTACTAATTTTATGATTTATTAGTTTAGTAGACGTATTTATGCATGTAAAACTCAATTAATACTCGATTTTTCTTTAAAATTGTAATTTTAGTATTATCGTCAAAGTTTGATTATCAACAGGGATGATAACTGCGGAGAAAAAAATTGTAATTTTTCTACAATACATAGGATATTACAGCTTTACAAGTATGCATATTTATTTATGGAACATTTCTGTAATAAAAAAAATCATGAATTTAATAATGTATGAGCCAAATATTTATGTTAATAAGCAAATTTATATCAATAAATCGATAATGTTAGCATTCTTCAATTGCACTCCTCCGGACCCTTGGGGACCCTTTTTGTACAACCGAAAATTTGCCCAGGGTTGACGGTCTTTAATAGTGCGTCGTCGGTGGTACAGTGCAGTATGTGGAACGAACGTAATGGTCGCCACGTGTAATAAACCTGCCAATTGGCGTGAGACTCAGACAAGGGCTGTGCGGACTCGCTTTAAATCACTATTGGAGGCCAGGAGCCATTAATTGAGAAGAAGAAGCAGAGAAGCTTTAATTCGCTTATCACGAATATTTCATGATCTACGCTACAGATAGATCGCTACAGATATAATCTGATTATTTCGAGGAGTTGTATGTCGGCACGGTTCGAATTTTTTCTATACTGCCGAGGTCCAGGTATTTTCAATTGTTTTTTGCCAGTGCGAGTACCGCTGGAGCACACTCAAACAGAATGAGCCACGATAACATTAAAATGACACTAAAATGAATTGGAAATGATTGAAAAGTGGCTTTTAATGATAATTTTGGAGCCATTTTGACATCATAATGACTTGTTCTGCTTAAGCAATAAACTCCATGTCTATCATCTACGAATGTTAAATACAAAGTGCTCTTTGTATACTCATAGCCTTCACCGTTGCCTCTTGCTCGTCTTCTTGGTATATGTTGTACCCCGTTGTAACGACAATTCTGATTTATATATTAATTTCAGAATAATACAGAGGGATTCATTCATGAATAGCATAGGCGAGGCATGCAACGATCTGAAACGACAATACGACGTTTGTTTTCACACGTGGTTCTCCGAGAAATTCTTGAAAGGTGATACGCACAGTGACAGCACATGCTCGCATTTATTCAAAATGTATCAGCAATGTGTCAAGGTAATTAAAGCGGGATTGTATCTTTAGGAAATCTGCAAGTGTATAACGCATGAAAGGAGGAGAGAGAGCGAGGGGGTAAAAAGAGCGAAGGTGCAACATGGAGGATTGCAGTGAGTTGAAACAGAAATACGACGCCTGTTTCAACAGTTGGTTTTCTGAAAAGTTTTTAAAAGGGGATACCAATGATTCAATGTGCGCTTCTTTGCTTAAAATCTATAAAGATTGCGTAGCGGTAAGTCTTAAGAAGCTCTCCCTTCTCATAGGTCAGATTACAATTATTTCAAATAATATTTTCTTAATATTTTTGAACAAAGGGCTAATGATGTCAATAATTCTGCGCTCTCATGTTTCAGAAAGCCATGAAGGAGCACCATATTGAATTAAAAGAAATGGAGACAAATTATTTGGAAACTGAAAAAGAAAAAAAGCCATACAGTTGACGAAAAGACGTTTGCACATTTATATTTTAGTCCTACATAGCTTTCTTATGGATCAGCGATGTAAACAGTGCAACCTTGTCATTCCTGTTTTTTATTATGAAATAATTATTAACAAAGGTTAATTGATCTTATCTTAATCAATTGTTCATTAACTAGTCTCTGTATTGCTGTCAAATATTCACACTTGTAACATTAATATAGAAATGTTGTATTAAAAGAGGAAACTATATATGTACATATAATGTATCTGTATGCTATGTAATATATATATATATATATATATATATATATATGTATGTCATGCTTAACAGCAAATTTAATTAGTTGTTCAATTTTAACAACTTTTACAATTTAGGTTTTTTTTTTAAAGAATTACATTTTATAGAGACAAAACTAAACAGAAGAATAACGCTAATTGTAAATTAAATAGTCACTATGCAACATGGAAATAAATAATTTAGAAACAAAGCTGGTAAATAAAAATCTTCCCTTTATGTATTTTTTCATTCAAAGAAAGAAAAAGAAGATATATTTATGCAAAGAAAAAAGCAAAATAAATGTATTTAACGACGGCAATATATTGTTATTTGTTTTCATATCATTCAAATCTTAAAATTATTAATACTTTATAATATTAAAAGGTTACATATACAGCATTTAAAAATATATTTATAATATTAGAAAGTTATACAACTATTAATTCACTTGAATGCTCATCCCCTTGTAATTGTAAATATAATAATTTTAAGGGAAATGTACACCTTTTCGATAAGTGATACTAAGTGTAAACTAACGACAAAAATGTTTGAATTTTGTAGCATTTATTAATCACTTTTAGATTCGTCTTCAGACGAAGATGGAGTACTCTGTATAGGTTCCTCCTCATCGCTTTCATCGGATTGATCTCGTTTCGTCTTTTTCGATGCTTTTTTTCTAGTATCTTCCGTTGGCCTCTTTTCAGTTTTTTTCTTCTTATCCTTCTGTTCCTCCTCACTTTCATTATCAGATTTTTCTTTTGCAGATTTCTTATTCTCATCGCTGCTACTATCGTCATCACTAATATATTCTTTGCTCTTGAAACCGGAACCAGACATTTGCTTGCTGGGCGAGTCTTTTTTCGTTTCCTTCTTGTTCTCTGTCTTCTTTTCTTTAGTTTTTTCTTTACCGCCTCCGCTCGTTTGATATTCTTTCATCGACGCTATATAATCTTTTTTAGCCTTGGCTGCCTTCGCTTCCCATTCAGATTTGTCTTTGAGCTCTCGCCACATCTCACCTCCCTTTTTCGCGATATCCGTTATAGACAGTCCTGGATTGTCCGCCTTGATACTATCGCGTGCACTATTCAGCCACAACATGAACGCTGATGGAGGTCTCTTTGGCTTGTTCTCGTCTCTCTCCTTCTTCGATTTCCTCTGCTTTCGTGGCTTTTCCGATACAGTTTTTGCTGACTTTGATTTCTTTTCTTTCTTTTCTTTCTTCTCTTTATCTTTCTTCTCCTTTTTGTGACTAGCCGCAGAGGCATCTGAATCCTCGCTGTCAGAGCTATTAGGATTGCTGTCGTATTCCTCGGCGACATCGCTCTCAACCTGATTAGGATTGAAGTCCTCATCGGTCGAGCCTTCCTCCTCAGAATCTTGATTCTCCTCGCCATCGCGTTCCTGCGCCTCTGCCTTGACTCGTGCCAAGTAAGCGTCCGGTTCGTCCTCTTGATCGCTGTCACCAAAGTCTTCGTCATATTTGGGCTTGTCACTTTTGCCGCGATTCTTGACACGCAATTTCTTGGCTGTAATGAAGTCAAATAATTTACCATATTCTTCTTTTTCAATACTACTGAATGTGTGTACCACACCACTCGTAAGCTCGATTTCGAAATCAAATGATCTAGTCGATCCACCGCCACGCGCAAAGTTCAATGAAGCTATCTCCTCGAAACGAATATGTATTGGAGGTTTATGTACATAAATAAAACCTCGCTCGAGCGGATATAGATATCCTGCCGCAGCTTTAAAAGAACAGCTAATAGCAGGTGTCCCGGTATGACCAGTGAAATGTCCTGGGCCAGTTAACTTTCGATTGATAATTACCTTCATCACCTATAAACAAATAATTTCGCATTAAAATAAAAATATGGAAACTAGAAAGCTTTTCTTTTACTTACCTTGCCCAATACTTCAAATGTAGGTCCTGATAATTCTTTAGTCAGTTTATTTTCGTACTTTTCTTTTAATTCCTTTTCGGTAAATGGTAATTCGATAGAAGTTTCTTCTTCCTGATTGAACAGGAGTACTAGATAATGATATCGCGTTTGGCCTTGTTTTATAGGAGGATCCAAGCTCACGACGAAAAACATTTGACGATTATCCTTGTGTGGAAGTAAGAAGAGTCTCAATACAGTGGACATAGGTATTTTGTAGTCGAAGGTTTTGCCGTGCAGTTGAAAGAAGGTCTGGAAGATCTTAATGTCATAACGACCACGTGGCGTTAAACAGTGAATCTCTCTGAATATGGCAATCGCGTCGCCGCTCACACTGATCACTGATGCCTTATCCATCACCTATTGTAATTGAGAAATGAATTACTTCTCTGTTTCTAAGTTTACAAATATATTCGCGCGCCCATCTATCGTTTAAATCTTTTCTCACCTGTTGATGGAATGCCTCGACGGGATCTTGATCAACACTGTCACTAACGGGAATGTGAAATCTCATTTCCATCAGGCTGACTGGAGCGTCATCATTTTGATGGAATTCCAATGTTACCTCATTCTTTCCAGTGTTACATTGTGATACATCATACAGAGGTATCTCGAAAGCAGTATGATGACCAACATCAAAACTCAAGACAGATCCATTAAACCTTGCGGTACCCCAGTTCCAGCCTTTTAAACTCAGCTCCTTTTCCAACATATCTTTCTTGTAATTAGCAGAAAAGAACTTGGCAATTTTTTCTTGTTCAGATTCTTTGAAGCCTTTGAAGCGATGCAAAGTACCATTTTTTAGAAAGATACGGAGACCCCAGGTTCCAATAAATTTTTGATAGTTTACCATCTCCATATCAGAAGCTGAGATCTGTTCGACTTTCCCAGTTTTCTGATTCTTAAAGATCAAGTGCTGATCAGTCAACTTTAATCTACCTGGCGTCTGTAAAACAATTATTATTATTAATTAGATAATAATAAATACATATTGTTTAAATCAATTTAAAAAAATAATCCTATTTTCGGTTAAAGCAGATCATGATGCTTAATAATATTCATATGTAAATTTTTGCAAATATATTTTAATTGAACATTAATATCTCGAATTAGATTACTTGTCAATTTTATAATGATGCTAATAAGCATCTTAAAAATCTACAAAGATTAATATTTCGGCTTGTGTTTCAAATCTGACAAACCAAATTGATGCACAATTTATAAAATTGAAAAATGCAAAATGTTATATTTACAAATGTAGAATATATATATATGAATATTATTAAGCATCAAGATCAACTTTGATCAAATTAGGATTGTTTCTTTTAATTAATTTACTTTTATCGATCTAATTTCTATTCATAAATGTATATATTGTTAATTTTCCTCCTTAATTAGCTCGTATTATTGATTTTTTTTTGTTTATAAAGAAAATATAAAATAAATCATTTGTGTATCTTTAATAAAGCTAAAATTGGAACTGATTAAATATTACCAAATTTCATGTAATTAAAAAACAGGTCGCCGTTATGAGCTCAAAATGGATAAAAAAAATTCATGACAAGAATCAATTATACGATATTGTTTAATTACTTTAAAAAACGATTAAAAGCTCTTACCATCGTGCCCTTAACCTCGGCAAAGATGTCTGGATACTCAAGGAAATCCATCCTGAATAAGTACCCAAGATCCTTATACGATTAGTCTAACAAGAATGTTGTTTTAGAAGATTACGTTATTAAACAACTTTCTAAACAAGTACGTAAAAATAAATAGAACATGTGTTATTATCGACAAAATTACAGTAGATAAAACGCGGTAAGAAGTAAAGGCCGGTAAACCTTACAGAAAAAATGGCGGATAGAGTAGCACAAAACAAAACACGCTACCAATTGATACGCAATTGGCTGTCTAATAGAGATTAAAATTGATGCTTGGTATTCGTTAATTTTGATCACGTGATCTGTTTTGACGCTCGAATCAAGCGTTGAGTGTCAGCATGAAAATACAGCCTTATATGACCGAATTAACCGCCAAATTCAAAGACAGAAGATAAGATTAAGAGCCGGTTGCTCCACCTTTTGGTAAATTTTATCTGTTGGATAAGTAGCAAAATTACCCAATCACATGCGCGAATTACCAGATTTACCTCTTAATTTTGAAAGCGATTAAGATGAAACAATCGGGTCTAAGAGATAAGATTTAAGAGATAAGATTAAAGAAAAAAAATAATAAATTTTAAGTTTATTATAAATAAAATAAGATGTTTTCAGATTAGGATACTTAACTGCTTAAAACAAAACGAGATGTACTAATAAAAATTATTTTTTCCATTTTTTATGAAAATTAACATTAATCTTGTTTTAACTTTTTTCTAATTTTAAAAATTAGAAAAAGATAAAGACTAAATTTAAACCAAGATTAAAGTTAATCTACATTGGTAAAAATGGACCTTGGTAAAGTAAATATATGCAATCATTTCTTATAATTAAATATTCGAGTTTTTTAAATTCTAAAATTTTATTCGCCACACACATTTAACCGGTTTTCTTTCATTTACCAAAAGTTAAATAACTTCAGTAAATGTTCATAATTTTTTTTATCATATAAGCAGATTAATTACTATATTGTTAAAAGGATGATAAAAGTAAATGTAAAAAATAAAAGTAAATAATAACAAAACAACAAAATATCATTTTTAATACTATTATGATTGCTTATTATTTCTTATAACAACTTCGATTCTATTATCACATTTCATAAAGATCAGTTGTAATTTACAATTTGATCTCCTTCGTCACATCTTTCAGTCTTTGTTCAAAATACAAGCTATTAAATAATAATAATAAATGTAAGTTACTGTCATCAACTCATCAACTTGTTTAACCAATCATCATTTGAGTCTTTAGGTAAATTGCTTTTATTTTTAATAATATCTTCCAATATTGTATCCAATGTGTCCAAAGTATTCTCTGTAGACTGGTTTGTTGTATCTAAGGTAACTGTAGTATCTAGGTCGACTAACGTATTCTTAGCTTTTGATAATGTCTCTGCGCCAACATCTGTTTTGACCTCATTTACTGTTGCATCCAATTGCAATTTATCGTTTTCATTCTGTTCGTTTGTGGTATTGTACTGCTGACTTAAACCAACCTCTGTATACTTATTATTAGATATATCAAGATTCTTGAAAGTATCCATTACGCTTGTATTCATGAATGGATAATTACATTCCTGTAGTTTTCTATTATCACAATTGTTATCAATATTAGAAAAAATCTTAAGATTAATATTAGTCTTTTCGATGTTAACAATCTTGGGCACTATCTTAACATCTACAATCTGTTTGTTCATATTTTTGCTTTCTTTAGAGTTAATGTCTGCTAATTCAAATGATTCAAATAGTGATGATTTATTAGAATCAGTAGATTCCTTTGTTGAGGTAACGAATTCACATTCAGGCACTGTTTCAATTTTATCTTTCATTGTAGGACATGATGAATATTCAGCACTTGTTATCTCGGTCAATTCTTTGGTAAGTTCGCTTCCAGGAGTTTCAGGTGGTGTATAAAGCGTAAAGTCCACTGGTACAGGAACATCCTCTTTAGCGAAACTTGATTCCTCCCAGTTGCAGGAGGTAGCTACTCTAGGAAAGAATATCAGATCCTCGTAACCCATCGGCCAGGGGCACTAAAATACAAAACAAAATTGTGGGCATAGATATAAAGCCTATATAATCTACAGTTATGCTTTTTGCTTCCTGTTTCTTGCTTTTTACCTCTTATCCTGTTTCTTCGCTTTTTTGTCGTCTGATATAAAATTTGATGAACATTGGAAGAGACAAGAAACACGATAAAATGGTCACAAAGAGGGAAAAAGTAAGAGATAAAAAGCAAGAAACAGAAAGCAAAGAGCACAGGTAGGTTAGTGGTATTTTCCAGCAAGAGACACGATATAACAAAAGAATCATTTCATCTTTGAATGCGTTCCGATTGTATGCATGAAGTACATAATGTATCATTTTATCTTTCTTTATTATTAAATGAACAATAGAGACAAATGATGCATAAGGAGCTTCATGCGTCACTCAGAATGTATCCTTTGCTTAACATTGACAAACAAGAACAACAAGAATGTAATGATTCACTAAGTCATCTGTATTTCTTACTGGAAAATATTCTAGGTTTTAAGGAAATAAACAGAAAAGGAATAAGAAGATTGTTTACTTCTTCCGCCTCACAGGACCACATCGCTTCTTCCATATTAACCTGAAATGCCTTGATCCTTCTCCTAATACCCTTCTTTTTACACAGTGGACAGAGTTTCTCCATTCTGTAATATGATCGTAACAATTAATTTATTTCAAAATAAAACGAGCACTCGGTGGAGCACGTAACATTCAGCAGCTTCGCGTACAAAAACTCCGTGATTATTGACAAGACAAACGTTCTGTAACTAATTATGCCTGATTAATAAAATACCTCGGATAATTAAGCGTTATGACGCTTAATTACATGCAGTTCTCGTCAACACGTGTCTTTTAAACATCGCGACCTACGAATGCCTACGAACTGCCGGTATGTCTGTTGACGAAAATAGTACAAGAATATTAAAATCACTTTAGTGAAGAATAAAATCTTACTCGAGAGATAATTCGAGTCGTCGGTAATGAAGTTCGAGACCCTTTGAAGTTTACTAGTATATCATACTGTAATAAACAAAAATTTTCGAAAAATAAAAGAAACAAAATTGATAGTTGCAAATGCTGAGAATATTACATTTTTAAATAACCATATATATTTATATTAAATATAATTTTATGAGGGACCCCTCTTCATTTTTAATATTATTCCCAAACAGAAAAAGGAAGTAAAAATAATATTAATAATATTAATAATTATATAAATTTGATGTCATTATTGATTGATTAAATACGATTCGTAAATAATATGCTTGATACAACTTTTCATTTTCGTCAGAATACCTATTAAATTCCATGAATAACTGTCCGAATGCCAGATATTTTTTAAAGCACATTACAAAAAATAATCTACATACACACAATTTGCAGCAATATTGCTGCAAAATGTCTGCAATGTTACTGCAACTTTTGTGCTGTAAGGATCATTTCTTTTTTGTCATTTTGAGAAAGTTACTTTGTTAAAAGAGTTTATTAAAAGTTTATTATTTTTTAGTCGGATACATTTTTTGAATCTCATGAAGTTTGAAATTTAAATCTCTTTAATTAATATACGGTTGTTATTCTCTTAATAATAAAAAAGATTATTGCAATCGAAATAAAATAAAAATTCAGCATAAATTATATAAACAATTAAATACTAAAGCAAATCGAAATAATAATAGACAGATCAATCGCAGCATACTTGATAAACTTGTGAATCTTCGCTGTCTGAAATACTGTTTCTTATAAAAAATTTTATATATATATATCATTTTTCTTATTTTTTTTTCTTTTACTGTAAACAATGTTGTAAACAATTATACTGTGAATTACATTCCTTCACGTGTACTGTTATAGTGAGATATGAAGTATCTTATTATAAAAGAAACGATAACTCTAAAATTTACTTTTGTGATAAAATAAGGTAAACTGATTTGAGATAATCTGAGAGAATCTAGATTAGTTTGAGATACGCAAAAATTATATTTAATAAATTTAATATATAATATACATAGAATATAATACAGTTGTGCGTATTTGCACGGCAGCAATCTTTTAAAAGTATTCCTGGACTTGTTGATCCCCGGAATACCGATGAAAGTGACTTTCTTCAAACTTTCTCGCTTTTAACAGCATCTTACATTTCGTACACCGAGAACAGTTTTCAGTTTTCTATCGTCTGTCGTAGAATTCAGATGTATATTGTGTCTTCCAATAATCTCCATAATCCTAATAATTAACAATAATTATACAAAAATAATAAATTAAAAATAGTCGTTACATTACAAATCATTACGTAATTATTAAGCGCGTAACTATTAAATAAGTATAGAAACAAAAAGAGTTTTTTAGAAAAATGGGAATCTTTGAACGACGGATACTAGAGATTTCGAATTCTCCGAAAGAAGTGAGATATAATAAAATTAATGCATATAGAAGAAAGTATCTGTGGAGTATAAATGTTGATGAGAACGCTGATAGAAAATATATTTCCCATCGCAGGCGCAGGCAATAGCGACCAACGTGTTGTCTCAAGCGCATCATGTGTCCAGAACGAAACGGGGACAAGCGATCGGCTCCGTTCAAGGATTTCGTGGATGTACAATTTGGATGACGGGACTTTCTGGTGCCGGAAAGACTTCCATCTCTTTTCAACTTGAGGAATATCTCGTTTCTCAGGTGCGCATTAAAGCGTAATCGCTTTATAAGCTTGTTGCTCCACTTTCACGGTATTTTATTCGATGTTATTTCTGGAGCAGGGAATTCCCGCGTACAGCTTGGATGGTGACAACTTGCGCACCGGTTTGAATCGTAATCTCGGCTTCAGTAAAGAGGATCGCGAGGAGAATGTGCGTCGCGTTGCTGAAGTCGCGAGGCTCTTCGCAGACGCCGGAATCATTGCCCTCTGCAGCTTCGTCTCGCCGTTCGCGGCGGACCGAGAAATGGCACGCGAAATTCACGAGAACGCCAATCTGCCCTTCTTCGAGATATTCATCGACGCATCCCTCCAGGTCTGCGAGGCCCGTGACGTCAAAGGCCTCTATAAGAAAGCACGTCAGGGTATCATTAAGGGTTTCACCGGTATCGATCAAAATTATGATGTACCTACCGAACCCGATCTCACCGTCAACACGGAGAACACGACCGTTCAACAATCTACCGATATCGTCATCAATTTTCTCCAAAGCAAACAAATTATACCAAAGATATGCGAACTTAAGCAACCCTGTCTAGAATTATTCGTGGAAGAGGATAGATTGGACGATATCCGGAACGAAATTAAGACTCTTCCAATTGTGGAAATCGGAAAATTAGACGTGCAATGGTTACAAGTTCTCGCTGAAGGATGGGCGGCGCCTTTGAAAGGATTTATGAGGGAAGCCGAGTATCTTCAAGTAAGTTTAATCCATGCGCAAAGTTTAATCCAAACGCAAAAGCATTATTGTTTTTAATAGGTGCAGCATTTTAACTGTCTGTACGAAAACGGCGTTTCGATCAACCAATCGGTTCCTATCGTTCTTCCCGTGAGTACTTCCGACAAAGAGCGCTGTTTCGATGCGACTGCGTTCGTACTTAGATATCAGGACAAGGATCTTGCCGTCTTACGCAATCCGGAATTTTATCTCCACCGCAAGGAAGAACGTTGCTGCCGTCAATTCGGCACAAATAATCCCAGGCACCCTTATGTCAGATTAATCCAAGACTCTGGTGACTGGTTGGTCGGCGGGGATTTGGAAGTGCTTGAAAGAATTAGATGGAATGACGGGTTGGATCATTATAGGCTGATGCCTAACGAGATCAGGACTAAGTGTCGAGAGATTGGCGCCGATGCGGTTTTTGCTTTCCAATTACGAAATCCGATACACAATGGACACGCGTTGCTTATGCAGGTTGATACTTACTTCACGAAATAACAAAACTTTACAAACCGCAATACGCGTTCGTTATTTCTATTGCATCTCGTATACTCAGGATACCAGGCGACGTCTCGAAGAATACGGCTTCAAGAAACCAGTTCTTCTCCTTCATCCTTTGGGCGGGTGGACTAAAGACGACGATGTTCCTCTACCGGTCAGGATACGGCAACACCAGGCTATCCTCGAGGAAAACGTCTTGCATAAGGATACTATTCTCGCTATCTTTCCTAGTCCTATGTGTTATGCCGGTCCCACAGAGGTCAGTAAATTTCTTCCTAACGTAACAATATATAATGTGCGATACAATATAATGTGAAATATGTAAAGACCGTTATAATGGTCAATTTAAAAAAATGTTTAGCCACTTTATCATGATTTACATTTTTTAGGTGCAATGGCATGCCAAAGCTCGTATGATCGCAGGAGCAAATTTTTACATTGTCGGACGAGATCCCGCTGGTATTCCTCATCCTGATAAATCCGCCACACCAGACGGCAATCTTTACGATGCCGCTCATGGTGCACGCATCCTTTCAATGGCGCCAGGTTTGCAAAATCTCGAAATTATCCCTTTTAGAGTAGCTGCTTACGACACCAAAACGAAAAAAATGTCTTTCTTCGAAGCTGAACGACAGCAAGATTTCGTTTTTATTTCCGGTACCAAAATGCGTAGTAAGTTTTTATTCTATCATAATTTATTCTGTCATAATTTTTTTTATTTATTGGTTTATATAATTTTATATTATTTTCATTTTTGTGGCTATATACGCATGTGTATATCTCCACAAGATTTATAAAGATATTTTTATTTTTTGTGTCTCTTTTTACATTAGATTTGGCAAAAAATGGTGAAGATCCTCCTGAGGATTTTATGGCACCGAAAGCATGGAGAATTATCGCAAAATATTACCAAACTGCACATAGTTAAGAAGCGAATCAATAAATAATATTTATGTATGGTATAACTTATAACTGATGTTGATATTATATTATAAAATATTGAATTAATATAATGGGGGCAGATAACAAAATAAAATAGAGATAAACTATTGAATGCAAAAATAATGGAACAAATCGTACATTTTGTTCTAGTCTATTACCTCTGGTATATCTTTATTTATTGCATCGAATGACACGGAAGGACATTTTGTAACTTAAATATATTCGACAATCGACCGAAGGTTGTCGATAGAAAATATTTTGTCATTTAATCCGGTATATCTGCAATAATAAATATCTCACTATATATAAAAAACTTAATTTTATCTTTATACGCTTTATCATAAAAAATATAAATGTTTGCTTAAGCAAACTAGATAATAAGTTTTACCTTCTTCTTCTTCAGAGTCGGATATTCGGGTAGCTTGAAGCGAACTTTGTTTCGTTAATGTCCGGACTAGGCCACGTGGTCTTGGCGGCGGTGACTGTTTGTTCCAAAGTGCCTCTAGTTGATCAAAATGTTGAGATTGTGCTAAAGCGGCTTGTTCAGGACCTAAGCCAGATTGAGAACCGGCTAAACCTGCTTGGCTGATCTCTTCCATTGACGCGCTCACGCTAAAGCGACGTTTCAATCGTTCCTCGATACTTGAAACTATAATACCTATGAAGATAAATGCAAAGAAGATCAAACTAAATCCTTATTTTTGCATGAATATACTTAAGGGATTGATAACAATCTCTAAATGGCATTAGAAATATATAAAAATGATAACCTGACGTAAGATGCCCGTACTTTCGCTGCCAGGTGTAAGTATCTAAAGACACCTCTTTCTTCAACAATCTTTTGGCGGGTCGTTTCGGTCCTGGTGGTCTTAAGTCCCGCGGGGCCACGTATGGCGGCAATTTCACGTATTGCGCGGGAGTATTATGCAGACATAAAATAGGCATGCATTTATGCTCCAGTAAATGTACTGCCATCCTGGAGCAATCGGTAGACATTTCGACTCCTAAAACCGGTACGTGTAGCATAATGGAACTGAGGGGGGTGCCCTTTTTAGTATCCCAAACGATGAGGCTTTTGTCCTCGCTTCCGGAAACGGCCAAAGTACCGTCGCCGGAGAGACGCACGCAGGTCACGTAACCCAAATGACCCACGAGAGTGTGCAAATCGGCACCAGTATTGATATCCCAGACGATCAAATTGGCGTCCCTAGAGCCGGATACCACTATAGATTTGTCGAGCACCGCGACTGCTACGCAAGTCACATGATCGGTATGACCGACCAACACTTGGGAGAGTTTACCGCCGGCTAGTTGCCACACTTTCAGACTCATGTCGCGAGAACCAGTGATCAGATATTGAGAATCCGGCGTTGCTACCAGACATGTGATATCCTGTGAGTGCGATACCTGATGCTTCTCCTCGGGACCGGCGCCCAGACTGATTATGCGCACCTGATTGTCACCAGATCCGCAAACCGCGTATCTGGAATGATGAAATGGTTCAGCTGAGAGATGTTAGTCTAATGAGTCTTAAAATAACGGTCAAAGTTTAAAGATAGAAACGCGAGGAGTATGAGTAGAAGAACCAGATAAAGAATATTTTGCATAGAGAAATTTATATATAAATCTAGTTCTCTTACCTCATGTCGGACGCAACAGCGAAACATCTTCCAGGTCCGCAAACAGATTGAATCAATGTACCGGTATCTGCTGCCCAGACTCTGATAGAGCCAGCACGATCTGAACTGACCACTCTTCTTCCATCTAGCATAGCAGTAACAGCAGTTACTGGTGCCTGATGCCTGAACGTAGCCACGACAAGTCCTAGAGTTAAACCCCACACACGTACCGTCTTGTCTTCGGATCCTAAAGAATTTACGCATATTTTTATATTTCCACTTAATTCAGATACGTTAATAATAAAAAGGCATTAATTGGCAAAGAAAAATAATTTTATAAAAGTCTGTACCAGATGCGACAAAAAGTTCTGATGCGGAAAATGCGATACAAGTAATGCTAGCGATATGTCCTTCTAGGGTGGATAACAATTCGTGAGTGTTGAGTTGCCATAAATTGACTAAAGAATCGACACCACCAGTAACCGCCATAGCGCCATCCCTGGAGATGTCCAAGCAGGATATCGGTGCGGTATGGGGTTGCAATGTATCCTGTTTTCCAGGTTTTTGTGGTTTTGGTGGTGGTTCTTCACCACGAAAGCTCCAATAAGTCACGCGACCTCCTCCACCAGTTATCAGAAAATCATCTTTCTCAGTTACCTGCAAAAGATAAAAGTGGAAATATAATAGTATATGATTTAAACAGACATTGTGAGAACGTATTCAATTAAAATAAATGAGAAAAATAATGAAAATTATGATATTTTGCGTTTAATTACCTTGACTGAAGTAACTGTTGCTGATGGATTAGCAGGCAGAGTCCTGATCAACTTTCCACTATGCATATCAAATACGGATACTCTGCCTTCGACACCACCAGCGATAGCTCTTCTACAATCTTTTGCCAGACAAAGACTCTTAACTGGTCCTTGATGTCCTCTAAGTGTATGGATTTCCGTGCCGGTTGCCAAGGATCTTAGATAGAGCTTCTGATCTTCGCAAGCGGCTAGAAGAAAAACTGAATCTGCAGACACGTCAAGCATGATCACTGGAGAAGGAAGAGTAATACTGTTGAGAAGACTAAAGCTTTCCAAAGACCAAAGACACACAGTTCCGTCGACTGAACCAGAAACCAAGACTTCTCCAGCGGAATCGACTCGAATAGTGGTGACAGGACCTCGGTGATGATCAACCTTCATCAGGACTTCGCCAGTGAGCAAGCTCGTAGCAATAATTCTGGAATCCTCGCCACCGCTCACGATAACGGAATTGTTGAGTGCCGGAGTTAAAGTGAGAACCGGTGCGATATGCTCGCAAATCCGGCGTTTCATTACAAGATCTTTCATATCCCAAACGATAATAGAAGTGTCTTCGGAACCGGTTAACAGATACTGTGATTGATGGGTAACGGCTAAACATGAAATTGGACTGGAGTGTCCTGGTGTGAATAAAAAGAGATTTATTCATAATTAATAAAAACATATTTGGAAAACTTGCGATAGAGAAAAAATGCCAATATTCTGTATTAATTCGCGCTAAATTGTACTTTTCTCGTTTTACCTTTGAATGTATGAACGAGCTGACCGGACATCACATGCCATAATTGAGCATCTCCCTGCGGTGGCACAATGACTACATGCTGACCAGATGGTGCCGCTTCGATTAACTTAACTCCCTGAGGACAAGTAATCGCTCGGATCTGTAGTGGCAGAGGCGGTTGTAACCATCCGTTCAAGGGCACGAGTAAAGGCGCGGTGTAACCGTCGCACCAAGCCATTGCCGCCATGACCATTCTGCTGACCTGATGAAGAGAATGAGTAAATCTTTTTTTATTTACGAATCAATAGTAATATAAGTTCTTGTTAGAATAAAAAATAAAAAGGACTCACGAGGTCACCTCCGTCCTCAGCAACCGGTCTTAACCAGCAGATAAGCTGCGCAGCGAGCTGAAGTGGATCTCTGGTAAGAACATCGCTGGATTTTCTCACCGCGTAATACACGAGTTCCAAATCGCGTTCAAGGAGATATCGTCTGGCATGTTCGAGGACACATCGTAGATAGCTCACGGAGATCATCTGAGCACTCGCAAGAAGAAAATCGAACGCGCAAACGGCGAGTTTCTTCAACTTGTCAACGTCAGAAGCACGCAGAAGATGTAGCCATGCTTCTTCAACGTGTCGAAGTGTGTATGTGACAATTTGCGTTTGCGGCGCACTTTGAAACGGTGTTTCCTTGATAGGAGGCGAAGAAGATGGATTCTCCAGCGATTTGTCGGAATTATCATCGGCTTCCTCGGAAAAGAAGAGGCTGGCTAACTCCGCGTGATAACCGCGAGAAACGTCTTGATTGGAGAGATACTTTCTGAGAGCGGCTTCACGACATTGGCTACGCCAGGAAAACATTAACCGACCGCTCATCACTCGTACCTGAAATAATATTTAATAAAATAAAAATTTAATAATATACGACCGTGATTAAAAACCATCTTTAAACAAGCTATTTACATGTTGAATCTAATATTCTTACTTTCAGCCACGGTGCGAATGTTCTCCTGATCAAGCACCAGGTTGCAAAATTAAATTGACTCTCCTCCAAAAGCAATGGTCCTTCTCCTCCAGTAGGCATAATTAATTCCAGTATTTCTGTCTCCGACAAGCCATATTCGGTGCAAGCGAGAATCGAGGCAATCCGATTAGCTGCGTCGAGTCCGACGAGGTCCTCTAAGCGTTGGAGAACCGCGTCGACGCCTGGTGTCGCGCACACATGCCCGGATAAATCAACGAGAATATCGGGGCTACGTAGACGATCCTTTTGAAGCGGCGTGAGGCGCATTCCCTCGGGCGGAAGCGCGGAAGTGACAACAAAGTGAACACCCGGAGGAAGAGTGAGCGGTAACCAGGACAAGGCAGCGACGATATCGCACTCAAGCGGATGAAAGCGATGAAGATCGTCGAGGAGAATAATTAATTGGTCCGGAAGGGGATGTTCCTCTAAGCGGCGTATAATGAGACTGAACCAATTGTTGAGGTAGAGTGGGTCGAAGGAGGCGTCTCGCGGTAAATTACCGTCGTTATCTCCGCAAAGAAAGCCGACGTGCTGGCAGAGAATACGGAGGAGCTCCAGGCTGTAAGCGGATCGAGGTGTCGAGGTACATAATCGAACGACGCGAAGCGTCGACGTCGAAAGCCAGTCAGGTGAATCCTGATAGACGCGTGCAAGGATAGAGGATTTCCCAGAGGATTTGGGCCCATAGATTAGAATCGGTCCGTGCTTATGCTCCTTGCCTGAAGATTAGCCATGTTATATTTCAATCATACTTATACCGTTACTGTACTAGCTAAATTATGGTATATTGGCGTCCAGCAGAAAAAAGTAGCTTTACAACTGTTACATAATTCTTTAATATGATTGGTTTATACATTTAGATCCAATAAGAAATTAAAGGCAAGACCAACAATATTAAAAAAATTGTACAACAGTTGGAAAGCTGCTGAATGCAGTCATTATCTTAAAATTTACACGTACACGTGATTCTCAAGAACAATTATTTCAATATAAGCGATATTTACAATTGAAATGCGTTACTCTTTGATAAACTTGTATAGGATCTTAATTGTATATATTTACGCAGTTATATCCTGTAAAAAAGAATACCTGCAAGGATAAGTCGTTTAACTCGCTCCACGGCTTCGTTGCCCTCGTTGGCTAACGGCAATTCTCGAAGAAGAGCAAAATGCGCCATGCTTTCAGCGTAGACCTCCTGAACCATTTTCTTGCGACTTTTAATTTCCGGATCAGCTTCGACAGACGCGTTCACCAGCTGTTGAAGCCTATCCAATATCAGTTCTCGAAATTTCGCAAGATATTCATCGTGAGCTTCGCAGTCGGAATCGATACCGCCGCTACGGTATTCCACGTCAAAACCCAGGACGTTTTCCTGGGGCAAGGTAGTCTGAATGCGATTCTTGAGTCCCTCGGCGGCAGCCGTGCATCTTGGCGCATCATCACTCGTCCATTCGCGAATCACAGCCATTATCCCCAAGCCCTGCTGGTCTAAATCTGATAAGAACGTTCCAACGATTATACCATCGGATGAATTATTATTTATTGCTCCTTACATGTGCCTCGCTGCTCTTACGTCTGCATAGTAATGAAAAGGTCTTTGAAGCTCGTTTTAAAACGCTTTTAATTACATTTGAGAAAATTCAAAGACAAATAATATTTTTCATTCCGAGATTTTAATTGCTATATGCGATGCGCGCGCGCGTGCATTTATAAATTTATGATAAATCCTAGCCAGCGGGAGCGACTAAAAATAACTCGAGCACCAATTAAATTTTCAGGCTGGAAAACGAATTAGCGCATGAAACGTGGTACAAAGTAGTTCAATTTCCAGCCTCTATATAAAAGCCTCTTATAATATGAAACGCAGTGAGTATGTGACTCTCCTTCGCGAATAGTCGTTGCACGTTTCACGGCGAATAATTTAAACGGTACACGACGATACTTGACCTAGAAGGTCAGGTTCTCCTATTTTTGGAAGAGAAAGCTCCGATAAGTCCACAATTTTCGTCATAAAATACGTGCGCCATCGGCGTGCCATCGCACGAGAGCTGATCAAATATTGACAGCGGCAGAGTGGCGATCGACGTATTCGGTCATTTATTTACGATCTTGTAAAAACATGACGTGCTCATACACAGGGAATGATATGTCAGAGAATACCAGCGGTTCAGGTGATAGATCATATATGTATCGGCAAAACTTTGCTACTTACTTAGGCCGTGTTCCAGTTGTCGTTCCGCCGTGCTCTTTAAGGTGTATTCCAAGTCCTGATTCTCCGGATGCTCCACAATCGCCCGTTCCACAGCAGTCTTTAATGCCTGGCGCAACTTTGGCTCTCGATCCTTTTGCCATTCTCGTTGAGCAGTTTGCACGCTGTTTACATGTAACTTATGATGATTCCAAAAAAAAAAAAAAAAACGAACAGGGAATGAGGAAAGGGGAAATTAGGAGAAATTCTAGACATCGGCGTATTACCTATTTGCATTCAAAGCATAAGAGTGCCCATTGTGCTCGTAATGATCTTTAAGAAGAGCGCAGTGCGCGACAAGCGTTTGGTAGGTAGCCTCTTTCAATTCCGTTGGCACCCACCCTACGGTGTAATTTGTTCCCGTCAACAGCTGAAAAGGATAACAAATGAAGAAACGAGTCACTCCTCTGCATCTCAAGCAGTATACTGGAAGTGTGAGTGTGTGTGTGTGTGTATGTGCAGACACAGAAAAATATACATTATACACAAGTAATAATTACTTATTCCAAATGTTTCAAAAGTTTATATATCCGCAAATTTATCATAAGTTCATCACAAGCACATTAAAATTATTTGAATTATATTCTGAATTCTAGTAAGTTTAATACTAATTCTAATAAGTTTTCAATCAAGATTATTAAATTAAAACAAATTTGAGTTATTTATTATATAAAGTCGCTTCTTCGATCAATTTTATAATATTCTTCAAAAGAAAATAAATTCTCGTTTTAGATATATAATAATGAGCGTTTGTAAACTTTTTAATGAGTAAACATATTTTAATTAAAAATATTCTTTGTTAAAGATAACTGTTACGTAAAGAAAAGAAAGTAAATTGTTGTTTTAGAAAGAAGATAATTAATTTTCTTACAACAGAATGATATTTTTCTGTGTGTAGAAGGAGATAAAGTAAAGAGCGATGGCGATGCGACGAGAATGGCGAGAGTAAAATACGCGTAAAATAAAGCACGTGATACGACGATATAATCGTAACAATCGTTAGAGTATCTACTCTCGTTAGAAGGCTTTACGGTATTAACTATTAAGCTCTATACGTACCAAACCGTATAATTACTTAATTCTACGCGGCAATGGAAGAAAAATGTGGTGCCGATCAATATTTGCCGAGACAACGCTGTATACATTCCTTACCAGGAGAAAACATCCTCTGGAATGACGGTGGGACGCACTTATCTCCTCCAGGAAGTATTCCGCCAGATGCGGATCGACGTCCGGGTCATCGCCGGCTCCATATTGCATGTCCACCAGGAGTACCTGTGCAGGGCGAAGCATACACTTTCGCGAATAATTTTGACGAGCAGATTTGAACGTCAAAGTAATTGAAATTGCTCTGCACTGACCTCGATTCCCATATCATCGTAAATTGATTGCAACTCCGGACCGACCACCTCCAACAGCTGTTTGCGCTCCTCCGGGAAGTCTAGCCGGAAAATTGCCGAATATAAATTCAATTTCACGTTAATAGAAACTCTCTGTCTCTATCTATCTCTGCGTGATCTCTCTACGCCTACATGTTGCCTCACATGCACATGACATTATCGAGATTGGATTTTGCTTAATACATCGAATATAACAAAAATATATGCTTCCCTAGATAATGAATTAATTATAAGGAGGGTTGCATGGGAATAAACTAGGGAATGGAAGTAACTTCTCGTTGTAACGAGAAGTTATAGTTACAACTTACTTTTTTGGTAACTGCGTTACTTCCCAAGCAGAACAACAAATCACAATAACGTCAAAATGACATTAAAAATAAATCGGAAATGATTGAAAAATTACTTTTAATGATCATTTTAATGATTTTGGAGTCATTTTGACATCATTTTTATATCATAATAATTTGTTGTCTTGCTCGAGATTTTTTCTTTGGTAACTGTAATGATAACGAAGTTAGTTTTTTTTTTTGTAACGATAACGAATTTTACAGTTACTTTTGTCGTTACTTTTTCTACTCGGAAATGAATAACTGTAACTTATTGTTTTTAAAAAGTAACTTTCCCTGGAATAAACACGAAAAAAGATAGCGTAAATTATCATAAGTTTTTAATTACGAATTTAATTACAAACTGTCAACATAATATTTAAAATGCTACAACGTTTCAAAACTTCTTGACTGTAATTAATTTATTGTTTGGATTATTGAGAGTCGTTGATTGACTTTTAATTTTGCTCCAGATTCTATCAAGCCCATCGCGAGTAAATCGCAAATATTTAGCAAAACGCACGTCTCGTCTATTAAAGCTACATTAATATGAACAATAGTTCCAAATTTTAATTTTTTATCCCATTTTACGTCCCAAATTTTGTCCCAAATTAAAGATATAATTATGAATTGTCTTTCTTTTGAGTGCGGAAATAATAAGTGCGAAATACATTTTTCAATTAACGTAAAGAATTTTATAATTTTTTATTTAAAAATTTTTTATTTAAAATTATTTATAAAATATATTCATTAGAAAATTATAACAATTTTGATAAATAAAATATGATCTCTCTTAATTTGATGTAATCTTTGTTGTGTCTTATGTAATGATATACATTAAATATTATTAGTTATACAAATATAATTTTACAAATATAATAATACACAGAAAAAAATTTTCCCTGCCGCAGCTAATCTTGGTTTGTTGTAATATATTTGCTGTAACTATAAATTTATAAACTACAGCGACATGGGGTTTGCTATTGCTGCTATAACATAGATATCACAGCTAAAACATTACCTATAATATCTATATTTTAGCTGTTCACATTTTACACCTGCCATTTAGTTACCACATGCAGTTTTTAGTTACGACAGCTACTTTCTTTTTTCCATTGTATGTTGTTTATTAACAATTATAAAGAAAAGTTTATCTATAAAAATTTAATTGCGACAAAAATAACTATATTGTAAGATATTATAAAAATTTTTAATGTCCCTCTCTTTTCCTTCTTAAGGTGATCAACTGCTTAATCTCCTCGAAATTCGCAGAGGTTTATTCAACTTACCATCCCTCTCGCCAGCGATAAATATCTTGATGAGTCTTGGCGCCGGCAAATGAGCTGGAGGTGGGCCGCCTTTGATGACTCCCGCGATCAACTCTACTTCCAGATTCATACTTGCAGAGCAAGATGTTTCGCAAGTTCGAAAAAGGTGTTAGGCAACGATCATCGCAATAACGAATCCTTACACGTTCAATGATATGACGTGAGACATTTTCTATTTTTGAGAAATATTACTATTTCATTTTCTTTCAATTGGGAATATTTTCCTCACAATGTATTTTATATCGTTTGATATCGCCAAGATGGCTTCGCTGTCTTAGAGTCTCTCTTTTTCTTGAGAGCACTACCACATTTATTATATATATATATTACATATATTTTTTTCTTTTTTTAAATTTAATTTTCTATAATCCTTAAAGTCATAAAATCTTTCTTTTCTCGGACGTTTGGATTACAAGCTCATCCAGCGATCCCTTCTCATCGTTGTACGTGGGATCTCGTACGGCTCTCTCGAGCGCTTGGATTTCGCGTGGACCCTCTGATATCGGGATTTTAAACCTCTCGAGATCGGATCTCCAGACGTGCTCGCACTAGAGTTGTCTATTATCTCAAAGTCAGCACGGAATACTTTTGGATCCCTTCCGATCTCTCCGATCTTCGGTTATTGCCCGCTCAAGGTACTCGTGTTGCTCGATATATTATACATATAT